GGGGGGGGGGATGAGGTGGTTGTTGCGACCGGGTGGTGCGGGGGCCGGCCTAAAGCCTGTAAGGGGCCCCGACATTTCTGAAGGCTGCCCTGAGTGTCACTCATTTTTTGAAAAAGTGGGATATGCCTTTAACGCTTATGTGAGAGTGCAGTGATTGGGTTAAATATCTCTTGGTGTGTGACTCCTGGAAAGTGTATGATGTAAAAGCTCTGAAATGAACAATGATAATGAACTGCAGGAGAAGCTTATGAGTGATCAGAGGACTGAACAGCCCTGTGTGGGATAAGGGAAGTCATAGCTGGATGAATGTAATACAGGGAAGAAGACTTCTGCAATCAGGGGACAAGGAGAGGCGCGTCTGGCAGAGGAAAGAATTAAAACTGGAAGGAACATCAGGAAGTTTTCTCTCCACTCCAGCTTCCCTGACAGAGGGAGGTGTAGCCTGAACTATGGAAGATGATGTAGAAGATCTCTGCCACGCTGAGATTACCAGAGGAGTGACTGAATGAGAGTGACACAGAGGAATCACTGCGCCCCGATCACAGCTCAGGGAGCGGACTGCAGGTATCCCACATACGACAATGCATGCAGACGGGGTGTGATCATCGTCCTCGGGGCTCCCGATCTCCCAGCAGGCAGCTACTGAAGAGTGACAGGTGTCAGAGGCTGGCTTCCAAATCAACGCTGGTGGCCAGTGTGTGAGGAGAGGGCTGTCCTCCTAACCTGGAGCCAGGAGGTGGAGACAAGTCCCAGGACAGAGGGAGCACTGCTCCTTATATCAGGATCCCATCACTATCTGTGTATATGACCGGGACCTTCCTCCTCCTGTCCTATACATCTGGGTGAGTGTCTGCCTCGGGATACACCGACTGCTGCATGACATGGCTGCTATTTACACTGCCAGATATGATTTTCTGACACATCTACCTGTTTATATATTGGACCTGTTTAGTTATTTTAGTCCTTTATGTCTACTGTCTGTCTGTCCACTTTCACTTCTTCTTTTTCTAGAATCCTTGTTATCTACTAATTTTCACTCTCTCTTACTTGATAAAACGTTTTATTGGTATCTGTGTAATCTTTATGTCCTTCCTTCTTTATTACTTAATGTTATTAGTTTGTCCTTCATACTGTATGTCTAGCAATCTTTCTTTCTTTTTTTCCTCTTTCTTTCTTGCTTTTTCACTCTCTCTCTTTCTGTTTCTTTATTTATCTATTTTCTATTTCTATCTATCTATCTATCTATCTATCTATCTATCTATCTATCTTTCTCTCAATCTATCTTCTGTATATTGCCTATCTATCTATCTATCTATCTATCTATCTATCTATCTATCTATCTATCTATCTATCTATCTATCTATCTTTCTCTCAATCTATCTTCTGTATATTGCCTATCTATCTATCTATCTATCTATCTATCTATCTATCTATCTATCTATCTATCTATCTATCTATCTATCTTTCTCTCAATCTATCTTCTGTATATTGCCTATCTATCTATCTATCTATCTATCTATCTATCTATCTATCTATCTATCTATCTATCTATCTATCTATCTTTCTCTCAATCTATCTTCTGTATATTGCCTATCTATCTATCTATCTATCTATCTATCTATCTATCTATCTATCTATCTATCTATCTATCTATCTATCTTTCTCTCAATCTATCTTCTGTATATTGCCTATCTATCTATCTATCTATCTATCTATCTATCTATCTATCTATCTATCTATCTATCTATCTATCTATCTTTCTCTCAATCTATCTTCTGTATATTGCCTATCTATCTATCTATCTATCTATCTATCTATCTATCTATCTATCTATCTATCTATCTATCTATCTATCTTTCTCTCAATCTATCTTCTGTATATTGCCTATCTATCTATCTATCTATCTATCTATCTATCTATCTATCTATCTATCTATCTATCTATCTATCTATCTTTCTCTCAATCTATCTTCTGTATATTGCCTATCTATCTATCTATCTATCTATCTATCTATCTATCTATCTATCTATCTATCTATCTATCTATCTATCTTTCTCTCAATCTATCTTCTGTATATTGCCTATCTATCTATCTATCTATCTATCTATCTATCTATCTATCTATCTATCTATCTATCTATCTATCTATCTTTCTCTCAATCTATCTTCTGTATATTGCCTATCTATCTATCTATCTATCTATCTATCTATCTATCTATCTATCTATCTATCTATCTATCTATCTATCTTTCTCTCAATCTATCTTCTGTATATTGCCTATCTATCTATCTATCTATCTATCTATCTATCTATCTATCTATCTATCTATCTATCTATCTATCTATCTTTCTCTCAATCTATCTTCTGTATATTGCCTATCTATCTATCTATCTATCTATCTATCTATCTATCTATCTATCTATCTATCTATCTATCTATCTATCTTTCTCTCAATCTATCTTCTGTATATTGCCTATCTATCTATCTATCTATCTATCTATCTATCTATCTATCTATCTATCTATCTATCTATCTATCTATCTTTCTCTCAATCTATCTTCTGTATATTGCCTATCTATCTATCTATCTATCTATCTATCTATCTATCTATCTATCTATCTATCTATCTATCTATCTATCTTTCTCTCAATCTATCTTCTGTATATTGCCTATCTATCTATCTATCTATCTATCTATCTATCTATCTATCTATCTATCTATCTATCTATCTATCTATCTTTCTCTCAATCTATCTTCTGTATATTGCCTATCTATCTATCTATCTATCTATCTATCTATCTATCTATCTATCTATCTATCTATCTATCTATCTATCTTTCTCTCAATCTATCTTCTGTATATTGCCTATCTATCTATCTATCTATCTATCTATCTATCTATCTATCTATCTATCTATCTATCTATCTATCTATCTTTCTCTCAATCTATCTTCTGTATATTGCCTATCTATCTATCTATCTATCTATCTATCTATCTATCTATCTATCTATCTATCTATCTATCTATCTATCTTTCTCTCAATCTATCTTCTGTATATTGCCTATCTATCTATCTATCTATCTATCTATCTATCTATCTATCTATCTATCTATCTATCTTTCTCTCAATCTATCTTCTGTATATTGCCTATCTATCTATCTATCTATCTATCTATCTATCTATCTATCTATCTATCTATCAATCAATCTATCTATCTTTCTCTCAATCTATCTTCTGTATATTGCCTATCTATCTATCTATCTATCTATCTATCTATCTATCTATCTATCTATGTCTCTCTCTCTTTCGATTTTTTTTTTCTTTCTGTCTATCATATATTCCTTTACTTGCTCTTTGGACTAACCTATCAAAACTGGAAAATTGGAAAAACGAAAATGAACACAAAACTGGAGCTGTTTCCTAGAGCAACCAGTTAATGTTCTCCTTTTATTTTTATGAAAAAATGTCTCCTTCTAAGGACATCTCTTTATAGTTTCTATTGGTTTACCTGCCTGTCTCAATTAATCAATCAATCGCCAATCTATTGATCGATCTAGCACATTTGATTTATATTTAGTTTAATTGTTATTTAATTGTAACAGTGAAATAATTATCTGTGCTGTGATGACCTGTCAAAACAGGGAGAGTCTGGCATAAAGTAAACCTAAAGGGCCTGTTATTCAATGTTTTCAACCGAGATGCATATAACTTTTACCCCACATTCACACTTTATGCTACTGGAGTCGTAGGTGAAAATATGTGAATCCTGCGGGAAAAACATTGATGAATAGACCCCTAAGTGTATGTAAGGTTCGTCTGTATACGTTGAAGACCTAGAACTGGTTTTCTTGGATATTTGCTATAAATACTGATGTTCGTTTAATAATTAAATTGCTGTGTGTATACTGTTAGAATAAACACCGTCATTTGTATGTTTAAATTGATTTAATAGAATTCATTACCCATTTTTACACATATTGTATATGAAAGACATCAATAATATATATATGTATGATTTTTTTTTAAAACAATCAGCTTAAATATATTTAATTCCGTTTACAACTAGAGAAGATCAGTTTATTCATTGATTTTTCATTACTTTGTTATTTTGGTATAATGACATTTTCATTGCACTGTGCAGAAAAGGTCTACAATATACTGCTGTGACTTTATTACATTTGTCCAAGTCCCTGACGTGTTGTTTGTACTTTCAGTGTGTCACGATGCTTGATGGACTGAAAATGGGGGATAATATCCAGAATGTCATTGAGAACTCCTCCAATCTGTCTTTATTCGGTGAGTGTCAGTGGTGAGGTGTGGAAGTGGGTTCAGATCCTGTCTGATTCAGGCGGTGTATTGGATTGTAACGATCAGATGTAGATTGTCTGTTCCCAGGAAAGAGCTGTGTTTGTCTCTGGATCGAATCATTGGTTGTATTTCACAATAATGCTATAATCGCCCAGATATATACATATTCGGGTCACCAAGGACACTTCATGTTCAACACTTTTAGATTCGGACTTTTGACATTATATAAATCTCTAATTTGAATGTGTGCATGTAAAAGTCATCGTACAATCAAATATGATCCTGGATATAAGTAACTCAGGGACTTCAGAACTTTGGTGTATATACCATGGTTATATGTCATCCAAGAAATATATCATACATTTATATGTTAACAGGATATAAAAAGTTAGTACAGGCAAAACTAGGGCATTGCAACAGATAGAGAATCATTAAGATAAAGGAGATGATCCTTTATCTTAATGATGATCGGTATAACAGCACAATGATTCAACTTTACATTATTATGTTGGAATGTTTTAATTATATAGTCATGAGAGAGAGAGAGAGAGAGAGAGAGAGAGAGAGAGAGAGAGAGAGAGAGAGAGCGC